CAATTGCACCCAGACACCGACTAACGGAGGGGGTCCCCCGATGATCCGTGTTCTGCTGAACTTTCCTCACCTTGTGTACCCGTCGGTAGGGCGGGATCTTGCTCTCTCGGTAACTTCCGAAGAGTTCAAGTGGTGAAGCTTGAGCGTCTTGGCGAGACGTGGGGATGGGGTGGAGCAGCAGTGGAAAATCTTCACTCTGCGCCCGTGGATGGTTCCGTATCCTAAGCGAATATTCGAGCTTATGGATCCGGGGCCTAGATCGTGGATCTAGCCGTAGGGTTGCCTTGCGGGTGTGTTCCCTTGCCTTTGTAGTTTTTTTGCGTCGTACTTGCCGCCTCCTGTGACGGGATCTTGAAAGTTGAGAGCCCCTAGGGTGTAACCGACCAAGTAGTAAATTCGGTTAACCTGTCGGATCTGCACAAGTAAAGGAAAAGCTCACTAGGTTGTAGGATCTGGCCAATTTATTATCCAGTTATCACTACCAACACTAGATTCGCAATTCCCAACCTTCTCGGAGCTTGTACGGCCAATGTAGTTCCGGTTCTTGAGGGCAGGAAGGCACTTGCGTGTCACTGTGCAAATTGGAGTCTGTATTGATATTTAAGCCTATACCTGCCTGGATTTCTACCTTCTATGTCTTTCATCTGCTAAATCCCTTACCAGGCTCGGCTGCATGTCTCTTCTTCCCTTGACCCATCATCCCAGCTGTATTATCTTCAGATCCACTGGATCCATGACGTAATCATCATGGTCACCCTATTATGGGTACACTCATCCGGATCCAGGTCGCTTGGATCCACTTCACTGTAAGTTTGCACTCGTCGTCGATCTGAGCTCTCCCATCATCCAACATCATCTCGCAACCGTCTGTGATCTCCATTATCCCACGAAAGCTCGAGATCCACTGTATCCATCATCCCTATACCCTGGATCCAGGTCCCTCCAGGCGGGATCCTCCCTCCTTGGATCCGAACTCGGAAGTATGGGATCCGGGGTACCTCGCGGTGGATCTTGACTCTTCATTAGCCGTGGCTACTAGATCCACCTTCAGAGGGCACCGACCATCCTTCCTTCATAGGATCCACACTCGATCCACTCTTGTATAGTATATCCCATATCCATCTTAGTGAATCCAGGTAAGGGTGGATCCGAGGTAAGTCTTGGTGGATCTTGCCTTCTCGTACGTCGCTCATATCAGATCCATCGTCATTCCATACGGGGTGCTGCTCGCCATGGTTAATCCACCACAGGCAACTTGCATCCGTGCCAGCCAACCCAAATCCTCTCTAATCACTTGAAATTGTCACTGATTCGGGATAGTGACCCCGCGTCAGGCCCATTCTCTTATTTCTGAAAAAGCACTTCACCACAGAGCTTCATGTTCTTCTTTTTCAGCTGCCTCCCAAAGCGCGCTCTCGGCGCACTTCCGCGCCTCTGTAGTTCTTCGGTTCCGGGTCATCAGCGTGGGCATTGACATCCCTAACTTCGGATACGGTCAAAACCACAGGCTCAGTGGTCCGCCTCGACTCGTCAACCTCCACGTCTCCATCAGCTTCAGCACGGTGGCGCGACTTGCGGCGTGAGCGGCGAGATCTTCGTGGTGTGGAACGTGGTGCCGGTGGTGATGTCGTCGTGGGAGCCTGAACAGTCGGTGTCTTCACATCGGATTTCTCCTCCAACGCGCGGATGTTCTGCACATGCCTCGTGACGATCACCTTGTTCTCCGAAGGCAGGTACACCTTGTACCCCTTGGTCGATCCGTCCTTGCCGACGACGACGCCCTCACACGCCCTCTTCTTCATGGCGCGCTTTCCAGGGTCACGAAACACCGAGCACTTTGATCCAAACATGACAATGTCGCGAAGGTTTGGTGCTTCGCCAGTCAGCACTTCGAGTGGCGACTTCCGATCCTCGTTAGCGCGTGACGAGCTCCGGTTCAGCACGTACGTCGCGTACTCAGCCGCGTCACCCCAAAAGTTCAGCGGCAATCCTGCACCGAACACCATGCAACGAGCCATGTTGAGAACCGTGCGATGCATCCGCTCCGCCTTGCCGTTTGCAGCTTGATTTCCGACTTCTGACACCTGACGAGTCACTCCGTTTTCTTTGCAGAAGAGATCCACGTTTCGGTACTCTCTCCACCGTCCGTGCGGAGAACATGCACGCGAACGTCGAACCCTTTTTCGTATGTATGAAATCAGGTTCTGCGCGAGTTTCGGGGCGTAGTAGACCGCACTGAGCTCCACCTCAGCCGCGACTCCGTCGACAATAGCTCTCAAAATCCCCGATCCTTTCTTGGCTACGTCCATTGTTCGACCGTCCGGTAACATGCAGGTGTCCTCATCAGAGCACTGCACTACGTTAGCCAGTAGCGCAGGATCATTGACAAGATGTCGGCTGGCACCGCTGTCCAGAAATCAAGCTCGTAGTGTCCACGGACTTGAAGTCGCTACCGGCGGCAAGTGCAAACTTTACTGGCTGGTCCTTGTTGCTTCCAGCGGAACGATCCGAGCAGCTCTTCTTCAGGTGTCCAACCTTCTTGCACTTGTGACATCGCCACGCTTCCTCTTGGGACTCAGCCACTGCGTTAACGACTTCCTTACCAAGATGCTTTGGCGCTCGATCTTCATCAGTCATCATCTGCGCCCAAACGACCAGCTCGTTCGCTTGTTGGAGAGGATCCGGTCGCGTGATGTCACACTTGGCCATCAAGGCGTGCCTCAAGTCCGGATCCGCGTACTTGACGATGTTCTCCAGCACTAGCGTTGGTGACGCGTTCGTTGCCATCATGAGAGCATTCAAGTACAAGAAGTGCTCCTTCCACGATCGCGACGGGTCCTTCTTCGCGCTAAAGAGCTTCATTCCTGGTTGCGTCGAGAGCTCCCGCTTGAACGACAAGTGCATCTGATCCATCACAAACCAAATCGTCGGCTGCGTGGCCCACCAGCACATGATGTGCTGCTGGAAGAAGAGCTCAGCTTTACCACGTAGATGCTGGCCGAACTTGTTCACCTTGTAGCGCTCAGGCCAGGCGTAACCACACGCCTGCTCCGCCATCTCGATCTGATCAATGAACAGCAGCGCCCACTGCTCGAAGCCGCTCCCAAGTCCCTTGTAGACCTCGTTGCCGTCGAAGTTCTCATGAAGATCCTTGCATCCTTGGCAGGCAGCACTCTCTTGTTAAGATGCAGCGGCGCAGGTCGATGTGCTTGGTACTGCGCAGCTGGTTGCTGCTGCTGTGGGCCTGTTGAGCTGCTTCTTGGGCCTGGAACCGTTGTGCCTCCTGCTTGTTGCCCAGCACCAAGACCACCATAAACCCCCAGGCGTCTGCGCACCCATGCCGAAGTTCGAGGCGCCGAGCTCATGCAGCTGCATGCGCTGCATGCCCAAGCTACCTCCGTGCTGCAGTGCCTGACGGTACACGCTCTGGCCCAGCCCAGCCCCCGCACCGGGTGGCGTGACGGCCGCACGCTGCTGGTGCGTCTCCAGCGACCGCTCTAAGCTGTCCACTTTGGCCGTGAGCTTAGTGATGAGAGCCGCGAGCGCTCCAGCGTCCGGCGTGACCTTCTCTTCGTGATGATCTTCGCCCCTTTCGTGGGCGGCGGGGGAGGCGGGGACTGCCTCCGTAGCAGCGTCTGCGTCTGAGTTGCTGACCATTGGGCTCAAAACCTGTTGATTTGGCACATGCTCGGCAGAAGGTAGAAATGAAAGTGAGAAATATATTCAAAGGAGTTTTTAGCTGGATTCTACATGCACACTACACAATAACCTGAAAAAACACGCGCCTACACTCGATCTGATTGGTCCGAATAGTGAAACCAAGTCAAAATGTCGTACCTTCAACATTGTCGACTCGACACTTGCGTAAAGGTCCTTGGGGATCTGGCTTCCGGTCGCCTGCCCGTTGGCTGGCTTTTACATCAATGTCCAACAATCTCTCCGCCAGAGTGGTATCTACCAAGGTGATATACAGTCCAGTATTTTTTGCTGTCTTCGACACAGTCTCGGTGCATCGTACACCTAGTATGAATCAACCCTGGCGGACTATATCCAGGACTTGGAGGAAATGGCTGGATTGGTTGATGAGGAGTACATATCCTCACTAAAGAGCGGGGAGTTGTCCGCCGGTGATCTGGAGCTGTTCGCTGCATCGCGAATGCACTGTTGTAAAATTGAAGTGATAGCGCTCAACTACGACTGTAGAGTCATCTTAACCACCTCGCCGTTCTTCTAGTTCTTAGCGACACTCTGTATTTGAACGCCTACGCTGGATACATGAATAAAACGCCCATGGGACTCTCTATTTTAATTGAGCGCTTAGGGTAGTTTACATGTACTTAACCCCAACAAGAAAAAAATAAGGACAAATATGAGGACCAAAAGTTAATGGCCTTGCTTGGCCTCAGTTTTAATAGATGCTCATATGAGCATATATTGAATTGAATTCCTGTATTAGCTTTTTACAACCGTACTAGCAACTCGTCGCTAAACCTACGCGTTATTGCATGAGCTGCTGTGCCGTACTGTGTCTGGAATGACTTCCCGGAGAGTGTTTTGTCCTTATGTTAAGGACAAAAATCGTCAAATGAAATAGTTTAATCAAGTATAATTTTAATTGCATACAAAGTGACGTCGGGTGTCTCAACTGTCATATCAGACAGAGGCAATTGCGCTTGGCGCGCTCGATTTTTGTCCTTATAATCGAGGTCTTAAGGACAAAATCACTCGATATTTTAAGATCTTGCATCTTATTTCGTCCTCATTTTAAGGACAGATTTTGCTGTACTATGTATCATAATGATTGTGACCAGTGTGAGTGGAAGGTATATATTTAATAATACCGGTACATTAATTAAAAGGAGCTGTCATACCAGTACAGTTCAAAGACACGACCTGCAAGCAGAGAATCGCCCGACTGAGCAATAATCGTTCTTTACAGCTAGTATAATTGAGATTGAGACTTAGCTTGACTGTCATACAGCTTGATAATGGAGAATTCGTCAAAAACTGTGCCAGTAGCACTCTCAACCATCGTCAGTGTGAGGTTCGTCGGAGTCACAGTTAACTTCGTAATGCTATAGTGCGTGTTATCCATGAGCACAAGCCAATCGGGAGACGGCGGATTCTCGAACTTAAACAAACCTTCTGGGCCACCAGCGGATCCCGCAATTACATACACGGGGGCCCGAGGGTTTTCATACGTGTTGGTATCATTCGAGACACCATACATGACAGCGCTACTGTTCGCTGTCGGGTAATGCCTCTCGTACAGATGAACGTGGCCTTGTAGCACTAGGTCCACCTTGTACTTTATAAAGAGGTCTTCAAAAGCTGCCTGCACATTCAACGCCTCATATTCGTTGTTGGGCACGCCTTCCGCGCCACAGGAGCGGATTGTATACATCGGTCGATGCATCCCCACGATAAGCCACGGTACATTGTCACGATTGCGATGTGCAGCCTTCAGATCTGCTTCCAGCCAAGCCAACTGGTCACCAAAGCCGCCATAGACTCGATTCGTGTGGTACGCATTGCTTGGTGCGTTCGGGTAGTCTGTCTCGGACGAAATCGATGTGAAGTGAGCACTTCCGTACTCAAAAGAATACCACATATTCAGTACACCACCAGTCTCTGGCGATGGCATTCGGAACCGTGAGTTAAACGCCGAATAGTTGCCGAGTTGGTCCTTCTTGCTGTCCGAAAGAAGGCACGTCGGTGAGTGGCATTCGGCCTCGTGGTTCCCGACGACCGTCATATACGCCACGTGACGCATTGCGTTGGTCATCGAGTTCATGAACTTGTTGTATATTTGCTCGTAATAAAACCCGAACACGTTTTTGGCGGTAAGAAATGCGTTATCTGCGTAGGCGACGTCGCCCACGTGGTAGATAAAGTCGACTTCGTCCACAATACTGTTCACGTACTTGTTGGAAGCCACAGAGTTGTCGTCTACCCCCAGATCACCATACACAGCGATCGTGAACGGACTCTTGTCGCCGCTAGCACGCGCCGTCGTAAACGAGCTCTCTCCACTTTGAAAGTGTTCATTGTCTGCATTGCCGACCTTGTAAAAATATTCTGTGTTGGCCTTCAACCCGCCCACAACTGCGTGGTAGCTGTACAATTCATATGTTTTGTCCTTGTAGTACGACTTGGTCTCGATCTCAGCATTTACCACTATCTTAAGCTTCGACTTGGTACGACTTAGCCATACGGTGGGGTCCTTGTCGAGCTCAAACGTTGTCCAAGAGACGGCCATACCCGT